TTTTTTTTTTTTTTTAATTTCCCTCACCACTCAAGGTTCTGTAGGGCTCCTCTAAAACATTCAGGTAAGGCTAAGATGAGTACACCTCTACTCTCTCCTAAGCTGGGGCCTTCCTGAAATTGAACCATCCCTCCCCAAACTAGGAGCTCTGGTGACACAGTGGTTAAGCGTTCGGCTACTAACCGTAGTATCAGCGGTTCGAACCCACAGGAGAAAAATGTGGCAGTCTGCTTCTGTAAAGATTACAGTCTTGGAAATTCTGTGGAGCATTTCTACTCACAGGGTCACTATAAGTTAGAATCAACTCAGTGGTGATGGGTTTAGTTTCGGTTTTTCTCCCCTAACTCTGAGGTTCCTTCCCAGGCCGCTCAAATGCTCTGGGTGCTCTGGTCTGTCTGGTTCTCAGCCATCACCCTACCTCCTCTTCCGCTGATGTGGTTGATGATTCCCTGGAATCTGCTTGCCATGCTCATGCTGGGATCCCCTTTCACCTATGCTTAGTCTTTTCACTCCTACCTCAAATCTTTTCTGGGAGCTCTGGTGGTGTAGTGCCTAAGACATTTGACTGCTAACCAGAAGGCTGGCGGTTCAAACCCACCAGCCACTCTTCAGAAGGAAGACTGGGCAATCTACTTTCGTTGAGATACTGCCTCGAAAACCCAAGGAGGAGTCGCGATGAGTCAGAATTGACTCGATGGCAGTGAGTTTGGTTTTTTTTTTTTTTGGTTTTCAAATCCTTTCTACATTCAGACTTCAGCCCTGAAAGGCTCTCCTGTTGAGTTTTTCCCAATCTCCTATGTCAAGGAGTTCAAAATCAGATTCAGGATTTGTGCTGGCTAGTTTGAGGTTAACCCAAACTGTTTATCTCACTTGTTGACAGACTTAGACTTAGGTACTTTCCTGAAGCTTTCTACTTCCTGTAGGAGGCACCTCCAGCCTGCCCTTTAAAACTGACACCTCTTCAACACCTGCCCATGACAAATAAACCCCCCTCTGCTTTAACTTCCCCACCCAGCTGATTCCCTGTACCTGAGATGGAGTCTAGCAGTACTGGTAGGAGAATGGGAACCACCCCATCCATCACCACCCCCAAACTAGAACATTTACTCTAGCATGGTTACCAGTGGTTCTAGGAGAGGTCTCCTCATTCATTTACTCTGGAGGCACAAGGTGTTAGGTTAAAATAAATTCTCTCTGTAAAACTGAGGAGAGGGAAACAAGAAATGAAAGAGGATCTGGTTGGAGAGGATCAGGAGGGGAGCTTCTTGGATTTTGTTATTACCATCCCATCCACCTCCCACAGCCCTCGTGTCTGTCTAGATCTCCCAACTGTACTTCTTTTACAGGTCTCCTGAAAGAGGGTGGCTTAAGGCTAAGACACTCATGCACTAGGCCAGTAACTGGGTTCCTGGGTTCTGCTTCACTTCTAATTACCAGAGGTTTAAATGTCTACAAGTTGAGGTGAAGGGTATGTTAAAAACTCCCCACTAGACCCACCCCTGCAGCTGTGAACAACTGCTTACAGGGAGGCCCAGGGGGTCGGGGAAGTCTAGGAGCTAAATTTAGTCTGAAAATTGTAGTTTAAACAGGGTATTTACCCTGGGGAAGCTGGAAGGGGGGAGGGGAGAGGACTCCTCACTCAGCTGAACTGAGACATGCACAGGCTCACCCTCCAGAACCACCCCACCCTCCACCAAGCCCTCAGAAAGGAGAAGCCCTCAGCAACTTTGCTGGCCTTTTACCCACTTGATCTCTTATGCATATCAAGATTGTTCTTTACCACCTTCCCCCTTCTCAATTCTCGGGGGTCCAGTTCCTCTGAGTCCTTCCTCAAATCCCCCTCAGTGCACCAAACCTAGGGGCCCCTCCACCACATCTTCCTACCACTGGGTTGTAGCTTCCTCTCTCCCAGGTCCCTCCAGAGAGTTTCAGAGGTCAGCAAAGAGGTGTCTGGCCACATTACTCCCCTCTAAGGGGCTAGAAAAAGGGGTTGCTTAGGGTCAGGTTCCCTTTTCCTGCGAACTTCCACATCAGTATGACTCCGTGCTGACATCAGTGACCAGAGGAAGGAGCCCTAAGAGGCTACGTTGAATGCTAGTTTTAAGATGGGGAAGAACAAGGGGGAGCAAATCCTTACATGAGAGCCCACATCCAGAGAAGTCAGAGACCAGAGGCTGTGAGGGAGCTCAGAGGCTACCAGAAAGAGAAAGAAGATGCTGAACCTAGGGGAACCTTATGAGGGGCTACGACTGCATTCCCCACCTGTGATTGGTTCTCAGACTCAGGCCAAACTCCAAACCTGCCCAGCAACAGCCAAGAGGCCGTGAGCTGGGGGAGGGCACTGTGGGGAAGTCAGCTGAGCTGAGGCCTCCGCCCAGCTGCAGCTTCCAGGAATCGCTGGAAGGGTTCCCCCACCCCACCCCCGGGCCATTCACCCCCACCCATCTCACTGGGTCAAAGAACTCCACCTTCAGTCTTGAGTATATACAGGGCTGGGTCAGGCCCCACTTCTGATTCCCCTTATAAGTTCACCAGAAAGAGGAATACATTGTCTGGTAGCCCTTCTTCAGGACAGACAGAGACATTGAGACTGGGCCTTGGGTGTACCCCCTATCCTCACCTCCTGCTCTGAGCTAGTCAGTTTCATTTTCCTTTCCTTCCATTCCCTTTGCCTCCTTCCTCACTCAATGTTTTCCAGTTTCTTCCTTCTCAGCCACTTCCAACCTAGGAAAACCTGCGTCCCAAGGCAACAAACAGTACAAGCTACAGTACAGAAATCATTTCTCCTCAAGCAAAGCCAGTGCCCTTCACAGAGGTTAGATGTGTTCAGGAAATGGTAGTCACCCAGTTAAATAAATAAACAAATAAAACCTAACTCACTGCTGTTGAGTGGATTCCGGTTCATAGCAACCCCCATTGGGTTTCCAAGGCTGTAAGTCTTGAAAGCGGCACACTGCCTCATCTTTCTTCCTTGGAACAGCTGGTGGATTCGAACCATCGACCTTCTGGTTAGCAGCCAAATCCCTTAACCACTAAACCACCTGACCCTTTTAATAGTCTTACTCAGCTGGACCTGGGGCAGTATAGAGAAAGGGGGAGTAATACTTTCAACAGAGGGGAATCTGATTCTCTTGCACTCTCCCCCTCCTGAGGCATGGGGACCCCCAAGAAGCAGGGCTTCCAGCAGCAGTATCTCAGACCTCAGAACTGTAGGGGTCAGAGTGAGGCTGTGTATTATACAAGAGGCAGACCCTCTCACACCACCTCTAACAAATTATTTACCTTGAGAGAAGAAATGGACGGGTGGGGTGGAGGAGGGAGGAGATAGGGTGAAACAGCTCTTTGGAATGCACCTTTGGCAGGACATCCAGTACTGCGCGGTGGCTCCTCCCTCAACCCACTCCAAGTCCCCTAGAGCCCGGCCAGGCTTCTCCTCCTCCAGCCCTTTCCGCTGAGGAACAGGATGGTGTGTGCGTGTGCGTGTGCATGTGTGGAAATTACTTCTCTTTCCCCCACCCCATGAAAAGTAACAAACTGAACTTAAAAAGGAAGTAGATAATAACAGATAGGATGGGGGAGGCAGAAAAGCAGGGCCAAAGAAAGAGAAAAGGAAAAAAGACCAATGAAAAGCGAGTTGCCATTCAGCTCAGTCCCCAATAGAAAAGACCATTAGATTCTAAGAGTCTTCACAGAAAAATGCTGTACTAAGAAGCCCACCATAGGCCCTGCCTGCATTTATTTCCTCAGAGCTCTGGACCCAAACTCCCAACACCCTACCTAAATTGGGAGAAGTAGTGACCTCTAGTGGTCAGTGACTGATTTGCAAGGCTTAAGGTCTCCCAGGATCCTTCCTCTGACCAAGGCTCTTAATCTCAGGTGATTTGGACTCACTCCAATAGCCCTCTAGGCCCAAACGCTCTTCTCTTGGGTCTAAGTGCTGTTCCCCTTCCTACCCTTCAGTTTGAGCTCACCCTGCTTTGGTGGTCTGTATGGCTGGGTTCCCATGGGGACAATGAAGAAGAGCCTGTTTCTCATTTGTCATAATCATCTTTAATAAAGAATAAATTAGTTCTGGGTGGGAACCATTTTAGAATGTTGGAGTTCGGGAAGGGACTAGAGTGTCTTATTGTAACTTTTTTTTTTTACCCTCTGCCCAGCTGGTCCCTGCTCTGGGGAGGCTGTCTCTCTTCCTGGGGTAAGGCAGGGCTGGCAGTGGCTGACACTACCCCCACCCCACCAAAAAAAAAGTTGCCTTCAAGTCAGTTCCAACTCATGGCGACCTCATGAGTTACAAGGCAGAACTGCTCCATAGGGTTCTCTCGGCTGTAATCTTTACAGAAGTAGATAGATACCCAGACTTTTCTTCCACAGCACTGCTGAGTGGGTTCAAACCACCAATCTTTAGGTTAGTAGTCCAGGGCAAACTGTTTCTGCCACCCAAGGACCTTGAGTTGGCCTCCCTCTGTAGCCAATTATGAAAGGTCAAGATAGCGAGACTAGGTAAGGGGAGAAGGGAGTCAGAGGACAAAGGGGTGGTTTAGAAGATGTGAGACCTGGGATATGAGCGCTGAAGTTTAGGGCACAAAGTTGGGACTGATGGGAGAACACACTCTAAGTAGCTCAGGTTAGCAAGGAGCTGCCAACTTGCTTTACTCCCAGCCTAGAAAAGCCCCAAGGGGAACGGCATTGCCCCTTCCCCATTCCTTCTCAGTCTGTGTAACTCCTTTCTGATAAGTTATGCACATATGTGAACACACACACATTGATGCAGGCCCAGATACACATGTAGGGGCATATGTGCACACACACTATCACACCGCCACACAGATCCAACAACCGTGTTGACAGTCAGTCATCTCTCCACCCTCAAACACCCTGGGGGACAGACATCCCTGGTGAGACTGGGGCAGCTGGAAAGCCAGGGGGTACAAAGTGGGCTGATGGATGAGTGACCGCTGGTGGCATGAGAAAACCATGAGAAGAGGGTCTCCCGACCCATTTCAGGCAGGTTCTGGAGGGGATCGCTCCAGGACATGGGCGCAAGAGCGGCAACAGGTGGCTGTGTAGTAGGGGTAGACGCAGAGCCGGGCCTGTACCACCAGGGGGCAATGTGGAGAGGTGTCCTTGCATTTATCATCTGAGGAAAAAGGTCAGTGGGCAAAAGAGAGTTGTTACCAAGCCTCTCTGGAGGTATGTTGTCCACTCACACTGATCCTTTCCCCTCTCCACCTACACTTCAGTGAACCCCACTCTGTGTAGGGAAGTTATTGGGCTGGGAATTGTTACCAGGGTGCTGGCCGCAGGGTTGGCTGTTGCAGGGTCGTTTCCTAGAGGGCCGCAGGTGAGGAGGGCATCGGGTGCTGAGGGTCTGGTTGGCGGTCAGGCACTGGACCTCTCTTGTCTGCGTGCCCCCCTGGCAGGAGCGAGAACACTAGGGAGAACCAGCTGTCACATATCAGACCCTTATTGTGCCCCAGATACCTCCCTAACCCCACGCCACCATCTCCCTCTCTGAAAGAGTTAGAAGGGTCATTATGAAATCCCAAATGGAGAGGGTGCACCTGTCCTCCAAGTCCCCAGGACATGGGACAACGCTGAGCCTCAGCTGGGCTTATCCTGGCGTGCGGAGACACCTGAGGGGATGCTGTGAGAAGCAACTCCTCCCCTTCCCTGGGCGTCCGCTGAGCAGGGCAATGGAGCCAGGCACTCACCGGACTCCAGGGTGTAGAAAACCATCGGTCCTGGCAGCTCTGGCCCTGACAGGGCTGCAGGGCAGGAGGCCTGGGTAGGTGGGAACAGTTGCTAGGAGAAGTCACGTTGAACTCCATCCCCAGTTTGGACACACAAATGATGTCTCTGCGCTGTGTGCCAGAGCCACATTCTGAAGAGCACTGATGAAGGGGTGGGGTAGGGATAGATGAGGGGTTGGGGGCCAATTCTCCACTGGGACTGGTACCCCTCCCAGCCGCCCCCCGCCCCCCGCTCGCCACTCACCTCGCCCCAGGGCCCTGTGTACCAGCACCAGGTCACCTCACAGGGCCCCAAGCTGCAGGCACGCATGTCAGGAGGGCGGCTTCCCGGCGGACAGCTCTGCTCACTGGTTCCAGTCTCAGCTTCCTCCAGGCTGGTTCCAGGAGCCTCCCCACTTCCAAGACAGACCACAGAACGTCGCTGGATTCCCGTCCCACACTCAGCTGAGCACTGTTGAGAAGGAGAGCAGACTGTATGATGGGAGGGTGACGGTGATTTTGAGGGGGTGTGTGTCTGGAGGTGTCCTGGGTCCTGATCCTGGGACTTAAGGAAACCCCAGGGGCCGGCTGAGTTTTCCTCACTTATCTACAAGTTCCCAGTGCCAGTAGTGTCTAGCACTTAATAGGTGCTTGCTCAGCAATGTTTATTGAGCTCTGTTGGAAAGAGTCAGAGGGGGTGTCCTGGGTGCACTAAGGTACCTGGGACTTGGTGCAGGGGGTGTGGGGCCCACCTTGGAGCTCCAGTCGCTGTGAAACCAGGCTGTGGTGCAGGGCCCCATGTCACAGGCCTCTCTGCTGGGGGGCCGTGGGGGCCCCGACATGCACTCCCGCTCGCTAACTTCATCACCATTTCTTCCAACACAGCGCACCTGCCGGCTCCGCTGGCCCCGCCCACAACGCACAGAGCACTGAGGGGATAAGGAGGAATCCTGGGAGCTGGGCTTCCCAGGCGTTCCCACCCAGCCTCCAGCCTTTGATCCCCAGCTCAGCAGTTACATGGCTTTGTGGGCTGGGAAGGCGGCTAAGTATGGGGCCTGAGGACCCAACCCTCCAACCCCTGGTCCAGTCTCTTATCTGACTTAGATATTGGGGTTCCATATGAGATCCAGTTTGTAAAAACTCTTCGCTGACTAAAGTTGGAAAACCCCTGCTCTCATTCACTGGTGCCCCCTCCTCCTCGGCCTCTGAGAGCCTCCTTGTCCAGTCCCACTCACCTGACTCCAGGGAGAGCGAACCTCCCAATGGCCACAGTGCCGCAGTTGGCAGGGCTGTGTGATGTTGGGCCGGGGGAGATGTCCACAGCGTTCCGGGGGCACAGAGGAGCCGCCCCCCCCAAACTCCTGCCGGCAGCGCAGCTGACGATGCTGGGTGCCGGGGCCACAGGAGCGGCTGCAGGACGTCCACTCACCAGTCTCCCAGCTACGGGCATGGACAGGGCAGGGGGGAGGCACAGAGAGCAAAGACAAGTGGATGTGTGGGGCTGCCACGTGTGGGGGAGAGGAGACCCACTGGGGACAGATTCCCTCAGAGGAGAGTGGGCATATATTTAGCACTTGAAGTCTAGGTCCCTTTGTGAGGGCTCAGGCTGCCAGGCTTCTCTTGCTGTTTACAGAATGTCAGCCTTCCTAATCTAATATTGTCTTTCTACAGCCAGGAAATCCCGGTGCTGAGGGCAGAGTTCAGGTGAGATCCTGTGAGCAGTTAAGGGTGTGTTTGCTCCGGGGGTAATTGTGTTTCTGGTACTTTAACCCTTCCTGTGGGTCATACTCACTAGGGGGGACAGGGAGGACCATGGCAGGGCTCTGGGGAGGCTGGGGGTCTAGCGCCTGTGGCACAGCTGTGTCCATCCAGTTCCTCTCCTGACTCCCGAGAAATGCAGAGGAAAATGGGGCGCCAAACACCTGAAGAGGGTGAGAGGGTAGCCAGAGGAGATGGGACAGCTCAAGATCCAGTTTTGTTTTGTTTTTTTTAGGGGGGTGTCCCAGGCCCTGGAGTTTGAGTTTGGCTCAGGGTCAAGATGTGGGCAGGCAGTTGCCTTCTGGAGCCAAGCATTCAGAGTGTGGAATCAGAAGGCTAAGGGTGCAGGAATCCAGATGGTATGGAAGTCGGAAGTCAGAAGTCGCACCTTTACCACAGGATGCTGAGCACTCAGAATGTCCCACTCGTTTCCAGTATCCAGCTGGAGATCCCAGGGGTGTCCTGGGATGAAGTGGGGCGTGCATCTGGGGGATCCGCACCTGACGCTGGAGGATGCCTGGGGTCCGGGCAGGGCGGGGTGCAGAAGCGGGCTGGGGCTCCACCCTCAGAATCTCTGTGCAGGGTGTCAAGGAGCAAATCAGATGTGTCCCACTGCCTGGGAGCTCCCCTCTCAGCCTTCCTCCTCCTCTTCTAGGTCCAGGGATCACAGTCTTACCAGGCTGAATTTGGGGGATAGAGGCCTCTGGGGTGGGATTCTCAAGGTTTGGAGGATGTGAAGAGATGACATATTGATAAAAAACTCCCGGGTTTTCTTCCTGAAAGATCATCTGGGAGAATAAGAGTGATGGAATTTTGGAGTAATGAAGGTTTGGGGGTGGCATGGGGACATACCACCAGCCTGCTCCACCATCTTAAGACCCACAACTTTGTTCTCAGAGAGAACAGCCTCCTTCCCGGCACTCCAGCCTCTCTAGCCCCAGGCTCACATAGACATCCACAGGCTGGGTTGTGGGTCCTTCGGCTGACAGACTCTCCCCTGCGCCCTCCTCCCGGGGAGGACGGTTGTACTGGAAGGTCGTCCCACCGGCTGTGTAGGACCCAGGAGGATCCACAGCCCAGTTCCCATTGATGATGGACCGGCCCCCAGGGCCCCGAAGTGCTGGAGGTGAGAGATCAGGAAACTCAGGTTAGTCATACTGTCCTCCTCTCCCATTGTTCCCTTAACCTAAATAGGCACTTCCCACCCAGGGCCCAAGATCTCTTGGCTTTCACTACCTCTACAAAAGAAGGGGGAGCTCTGGTAGCACAGTGCCTAAGGCACTTGACTGCTAACCAGAAGGCTGGAGGTTCAAACCCACCAGCCACTCCTCAGAAGGAAGATGGGGCAATCTACTTCCATAGTGATACTGCCTTGGAAACCCAAGGAGGGGTCGCTATGAGTCGGGTCCAAATTGACGGCACATAACAACAACAACAGCAAGAGAAGGAGCTTCTCAATTTCCCTACTTGGCTTGCTTGCTGTGCTGAGTTTGGGAGAGATCCAAAAGACCAGAAATGGAACAGGGACCTAAGACTCGGGGAAGCTGGGGTGCTCACCAAGGTAATTGGCGCTGGGCTGAAGCTGGGCAATGTGGAGCCGGGAGGCTCCAGCAGGAATCAAGAGGATCTTCTGATAGCCCAGGGGGCCCCCCCGGTCAGTGAGGTTCCCCGAAACGAGGCGACAGGTAGAATCATCACCCCCACAAACGCCACAGGCATCTGGTCTCCTGCCAGAGCCAAGGATTCCATCACAGCCGGGGCTCTGGGGGAGAGTAAGGTGAGGCAGAGCCAAAGGAAAGCCAAGCACCACCTCACACCCCACCCTGGTCCACGTGGGACCCTACAGCTCACCTCATCCCTTGCTCTTCACACTACAAGTGAGAACATGTTTCCCTGTCAGCCCCAGCCCGTCATGCCCAGCCCACCTCAGGCAAGCTTCTGTGTGCCCGAGAGAAGGTCCCTTCTTGCAGTTCACCTCTTGGCCCTGCTCAGCCCAACTTGGCAGGTGAGAATTTTGCGATCTCTGTTTGGTGTTTTGTTGTTGTAATGATGAATGAGAAAGAAAGATTCTTTGTGTGTGCACGCCCCATCCCTCACCAGACAGCGTCCGGCCACACAGATGTCCAGGGCTCCAGGCTGACACAGGGTTCCATCCTGGACTTTTTCCGTGTGACGGACATAGAAGCGGAAGCCACGGGGACGGCAATTCAGTTCACAGCGTTGGAAGCCCTGAACTAGGAGACAGAGTAGAAGGGTGGTTAGCTGGGGTCCCTGGTGAGAGGTCAACTGGGGAAAGCCCCAGGACCCTGACTGCAGCCTTGCTGAAATTCACTATGGAGCAGTCCTGAGGTTGCCTAGGTCACTGTGAGTCAAGGGAACACGACTCTAAAAGGTTCGTTGGACGGTCACACAAGAGTTGGGTCCAGTCAGCTGAGATCACTGAGACCAGCAAGGAGCTCTGAAGGAGGAGAGACCCTTGAAACCTATGGTTTTATGAGTTCAGAGCTCATGAGGGCTTATCTTGTCAGGTTGATATGGACATAAAATCAGGTAGATGGTAACTTGGCAGTAATCGATATGATCCCACTTAGGATCCACGGCACACCTCCACCCTGTTGTCACCACTGGACAGAATCTGACCAGGCCCCTCTCATGCCTCATGTGGAATTGCCTTCTTCCCAGAGGAAGCCAGCCAAAGGGCAGTCTCTAGACACATTCCTTCCCCGGCCCAAACCCTCTGCTGATCCACCATCAGACAATTCAGGCTTCTGTTTGAACCCCTTCCCCTTTCCAGGCCTGTGCTAAGTCCCTTACCCCAGCCTCAGTGAGTAAGAAAAAAGATACAACGAAGAGGAGAAACAGAAAGGCATATAGGGAGAAATAGAGGGGCTGGAAATTTCTCAGGGCTGGGAGTGAACAGGATTCTCCCTCTCCTCCTCACCCCTTAATCCTGAGTCACTCCTGGGTTGTGGGTGGCGGGGTGGGGGTGGGGTGGGGCTGGAAACCTCACCTTCAGTGAAGGGCTCCCATTGGTACAGTTGGCCCATGAATTCCTGGGAGTTAAAGGCTGCACACTGCAGGGCCCGGGGGTCTGGCTGCTCAGGGGGGCAGGGCTGAGTTGGGGGAATACAGAGGAGTCAGAGCTGGGGAGGAAAATGGGGTACGGGTCAGGGCTGGATTTGGGGAAGACAGAGAAGGTCAGGTCTATGGAAGAGCTTCAAGGCTCCTATCCAGAGGAGCTCAGAGGCCAAGCCCTTTTTCCCTCAGGATTAGAAGAAACAAGCGGAAGGTCAGGGAGGCTGAACTGGAGTCTGAGGTGAGGGGGTCGTCCAGGGAAGAACTCACCGCCTGGCTGCAGGCTCTCAGCTGCTCATTCTCTCCAGAACATCTTGGAACAGGGCTACTGGGAGCAAAGAGGCTCCAGAGGGGGCTAGAGTGGGGCCCAGCACTCAGCAGAGGCAACCAGCCGTCAGGGTGGCGAGAAGCAGGCCCCGTGAGGGGCCCGTGAAGACTCCCCCCAGGTCTCCAGGGCTCCCGGCTCTGCTGGACTCGGCCCCGAGGGACACTAGTGAAAGGACTAGGGTGTCTCCCTACGACCAGGGGACTGGCCCACCCCTGGGAATTTGGCATTCTTGGCTGAGGAGACACATGAAAGGAGATACTACGTTCTCCTGGAGACAGGGTGGGCAAGGGGGGCTCTGTGTTGGAGGCCTGATTTCTGGCGTGGGGCCCTATGGGGGCAGGCCTCGCTCTGGAGGGCACCTCTGTCTGAGAAGTTGCAGAGTTTGGGGGTTCTTCTGGGGAGGACTGGGTATGGGCAGACAGATCTGTAGTCGGGAGCTGAGTTGGAAGGGTCTGATTTAGGGAGGATGGCTCTGCTCCTGGAGTCAGGGATGGAAGGGGCCCTTCTCCTCTAAAAGGGGTCTGGGGGAGCTCAGATCTGGGTGGCCTCCGGGAGTGTCTGCGGTTCCGATGCAGTGGCAAAGCAAAGGGCACTCTCCCATAGCCGAACATTCCTGGTTTGATAGGGTCTCTAACACGGGACCTGAAAAGGTGTTGCAGACATGGGGTCACAGCTCTGGCCCTCTCTGACAATACCTCCCCAGTATATGTCCTGCCATCAAAGATAATACTCTGTAAACTATGTGTCTTCTGCCCCCCCCATTTCCTTTCTTCCAAGCTCCGCCCCTTTCATCCAAGCCACACCCCTCACCTCCGGGCCCCTTGACTCTCTTGGGTCTCCTCTCTCCCTAGCTGGGAAGCAGGATTTCGAAGTGGGCCACCTCTTCCCCGAGGCTCTGGTCTGTACAAAGGGAGGGTTTCTCGGGAAGCCTGGGGTCTGGGGCCTTGACCCCAAGGAGGCTGGGCTTCTGGATGTCTTGGGGGTCGGGGCGGGAGAGGCAAGCCTGGGTGGAGGTGAGCTGTAGGGAGTTGACATTTCCTGCTCCGGCGCTGCACCCCCACCCCACAGGGCTGGGAACAAGAGGCCCACTGGTCCCAAGGTCCCCAGATGCCCTCAGGGCCCTGGCCTTCCTCTGAGGGTGTCTGAAGAGAGTGTCCAGACAACACCTATGTAGAGAAAAAGGTCAGACAGAATTAGAATGCTTTTAGAGAGAACTATGAAGAGTGTCTATTTAGTCCAATGCCTGAGGATCAGAAAGGTTAAGTTACTAGGCTGAGGTCACATTCAGTAGTAGGAGGGAGGACTAGAACTCAGTCATCTTGATGTTAATGGCAAGGAGTTAGGGAGTTGGCCAGGGGAGAAGAGGAGGACCAAATGTGAGTGAAAGGGGAGGCATCAGCCTGGAGAGGTGAGGGGGGAGGTCAGGAGGAGACAAAATGCAGGCAGTAGCAACCTCCTATCCCTGGCTCACCTCCTGATCCAGGCAGAGCTGAGGGAGGGACAGAAACAGCATTAGACACAGCTGGGGCCTGCAAACCAAAGGCAGGAGAGGGTAGGTCAGACAGGAGCCAGAAGAGGTGTTACGACACTGTCCCCACCCCACCCCCAGCAGCTCCCCACATCCTGACCGCTGACTTCTCAGAAGGCAGAAGTTACTCATCGCTTCCCCCACCCCTTCCTGTGCTCTCCCGTCTGTGTCTGTCCTTCACTTCCAGGGACAGAGCTCCCCACCACCCTGGCAGCCCCACTGCTTACCTGCCTGCCCACTTCTCCATCACTCCTCCCTGACTGCCCAGGGCAAGGGAGGAGGGGCCTGGCTGTCAAGGCACTACTCAGGCATCTGGGTGTGGAGGAGACAGGAAGCCTGGTGGTTACTTCTCCAGTGTTCAGAGAGCTGGGGTCAGGATGGATGAGCCCTCAGAAGGCTGTCTCAGAGTGAGGATGGAGGGTTGGGGAGACCGACCCACTCCGTTATGATGCTAAGGGTGGGAGCAGGGAGTTATGCTGCCTTTGTCCATCTGCTGAAGCTAGAGGGTGGGGGTCTGACCTCAGCCTACCAAGTCTTGGCCCAGTCCCCTCCCCTTGGCCCTGTAGGAGTCTCTCCGCTCCTCCCTAGACCCAACTTGGGTGTTAGTAAGCCACCGCAGGCACACACAGGCGGCTCTTTCTTTCTTAGGATGGTTTTCATCTGGCTCTCTCTCCTGCCCCCCAGTGGTTCGTAAAAGTTGAGGTAGGAGGCTCAAGTGAGGGTATGTCAAATGTCCCCTCTGGAGGAGCTGACAAGAAACCTCTTGGGCTTTCCAGAAACAAGACCCTCCCTGACCATCTCTGTTTCCTACCTCCCAGCTTTTTCTTCCCTTCTCAGCTAAAGTCCTTAAGGAGAAGTCAGACATATCTTTCCTACCTCAAAAACTTTTGAGCCAAGGGATAAGCTAAGTGAGTTGATGGTTTAATTTCAAGAGAACCAGATGATTTTCCTACTGTGATTTAACCTCCACTGTGAGTGCCAGAGGTCCCTGAGTGGCACAAATGGTCTGTGCTTAACTACTAACCTAAAAGTTGACAGTCTGAACCCACCCTGCTGCACTGTGGAAGAAATGCCTGGTGATCTGCTTCCACAAAGATCACAGCCAAGAAAACTCTTATGGACCAGTTCTACTCTGTAACACATGGGGCTGCCATGAGTTGGAACTGACTTGTTGGCAACAGGTTAACGGTCAGAGTGCCAACGCCCTACACTGGTTCAATGAGGGCTTATTTCATGTGCAACTGTAATGGGCTAGGAAAACCCAGGAAAAGATGCAGCTAGGGCTCCCAACCACAGGCCCATCATTCAGAAGAGCCAGGAAGTTCTCCTTGAAGTCTAGCTTTGATGGTTGGGGAAGTGGGGGCTGAACCCTCCTGGCCTCAAAGGCTGACTCTCCCTACCACTCCTTGCCCTCCAGCCCCCTTCTTCCTTTGAACCCTTCCCATCCCCAGCCCCCATCTTGCTCTTAGTTCTGCTTTCCAGGAAAAAAAAATTGTGTTTCTTTTGGAGCTGAAAGACACCCAGGAGAGGAGTCCAAGGAGCCAGTGCCGAGGTGGGCCAGCTCAGGGGCAGGAAAATGAGAGAGAAGGGCAGGAATGTGTTTGGGGGTAGCAACATTCAGCCCCACTCTCCTCTCCAAGACTCCAGGACTTGAGGATTTGAGGGATCAGAATGGTGAAGCCAAGCTGGCAGGGTCACCTCAGCTGCTCAGGGTTGGGGGGAGAGACATGTTGATGGCAGCTCCTTCCCCTGGCTGGGCTCACCACTGAGGTCAGAGACTACGCCCTGCTGGGCGGGAGGCTGGGGGCTCCCCAGAAGGGCCCACATTCCACCCAAACCATCTCTCTGCCTGACTCTTGAAAACCCTAACTTGAGATAGAAGGGAAGGAGAGATGGAGGGAGATGGTTACCATCTAGTCCTTCTTGCTGCCAGGTCCCCTCTGCACTCCCTCTCTCTGTTACCTTAGGTCTGTATCTTACTGTCTCTCTCCATGGGTCTACCCAGGACACATAATCCCGTCCTGAGCTGGGTTTGGCTTTGGCAGTTCCCTAGAGAAGTGAAGGGTGGGGGGTGGGGGTGGGGGTGACGTGAGCTCCCGGGGCCGGGGCCAGTCCTGGCTCCCTCTCTGGAAAAGTCCCACACATGCCCCCTGCACAGCTGGGCAGGGGGCCGATACCCCCTCCTCTGTGGAAACAGGCACATGTTTGTGCTTTTCATCCATTTTCATGTTCCCCATCTGATGTCTCTTGCTGCCCAGGGTGAAGAAAGGAGAGGTCAGAAGTCACTCTGGTGCCAGGATAGGCACTGCTTTGGACAACCTGGCCTCCTCCTGGCCACACCTCCTCATACTGGCCAGTGAAGATCAAGGAGCAGAGACTTGGGCAGGGCTAACCCTTCAACACCCAGAGGGACCCACCTCTGGGAAACAGCCGCTGCTGTGGAGGGGGGGCTGGACAGTGTGTTTCTGGGCTGGTGGTGGAGAGTCCCTGTCCTGGGTCAGAACGCCTTAGTCCTCCTCATGCCCTCCACTCCTGGGCCCTGGAGGACCTTCCCAACAGGTGTCCTTCCTTTGGTCGACCTCTTCTGCCATCAGGCTAAGCTGGATCAAGGGCACCCACTTGCATCTCTCCCAGCGCCCCTATCCCCCTATTCAAGAAGGCGGAGTAGGGGCACACATCCTCGAGAGCGCCCTCCTGGGGGAGCGGAGGAGGCGTCGGCGCGTGCTGGGAGGTCCTGGGTATGTTTTCCAATTTTACTATGTGACTGAGTAGGAATTTTGGCTGATTCTCCGCCCGGGTAATGGGGCCAGAGTTTCACGGAGTAGAGCCCCCTCCCCAGGAATTCGACCCCGGGGTCTGGAAGATCTTTCAAGGCTCCAAGTGCTAGGGCCGGGGTCGTGGCGGGGGCGCGACGGCGGAGCGCAGGCAGCGGGGTTGGTGCGGGTACTCGGGGTGGCTGATCTAACGGGACCGAAGGAAGGGGGCAGTCGGGGCCGGGGGTCCCAGGGAGGATCTGTACCTGCTCTGCGCGCCCCCGGCGGCCCGTTAACCCTTCTGCGCCTGGGCGCTCCCTCGAGACAGCCTTGCTCCGCCGCAGCCACAGCGGCCCCTGAGCGGGGCTCGGGACACTGCCGCCTC